GCTCATCTTACTCTCTTTACCCATTAGAGTTAAGTGCGCTTTTTACAGTGTTTTAATTGTTTTTTTATATATGTGATCTGTGTTTTATTATTTTTAGTTATTTTTCTCTCTGTTAAGCACTTTGTGGTGTTTGTGTCTGTGAAAGGTGCTATAGAAATAAAGCTTACTTACGTACTTACTTACTTACTTACTTACTTACTTACTTACTTATATAAAAGGGGCAAAAAAATCAAAGTTATAATTAGGAGTCTGAGTTTTCTGAGCTGCTCCTGTCTCTCTGCAGAAGATGGTGGGCGGAAAGAAAGACCGCTCGCTCTTCCTCTTCAGTGATCTGATCATCTGCACCACTCTGAAGAGGAAGTCCGGGTCATTAAGACGCAGCTCAATGAGCCTGTATGCACACACCCAYAATCACAGCACCGTTTCTAAACCACACTGCCCCCTGCTGTTGAGAAACTGTTCCTTTATTTTTTTAATTCTCCGTCTTGTGTTTTTCAGATACTCTGCTGCTAGTGTGATCGATACGTCCAGCAAATACAAGTTTCTATGGAAGCTTCCTCTTGAGGACGTGGAGGTGGTGAAAAGTAAGACTTAAAGCTCAGATCGTGTTTTTCTGCGTGGCCATTCGCTTTCTAATTTAAATGCGACCTCCCGGAACAGTCCGCGGCTCTGAAGGGACCCACGTGTGCACAGAAAGACGTGGCGTCACACGCAGCATGCTGTGCTGACAGAAGTAAATATGGACGCTATGCACGTTAGCACGTGTGGATCGATTCTGATGTTGTTGTGCAATCATAGCCAACTAAATTATTATCTGACGTGCTTGTTTCCACCAGTGTTTACACTCGCTGCCTACTCTGGTGCACCATTGCACTTCTGGAACAGGAGCGACTGAAAGCCACATTTGTCACTTTCAGACTGTCCTAAAAAAGAATCACATATGGGTCGCACGTGTGGAAACAACAGAATTTAGGCCATTTAAATCTGAATATTTCTGACTACKTTTCAAACTACATGTAGCCCGAGTTGTTTTGTTCTGATAACTTCATGTTTATAACTCACTAATTGCTAAAAACAAAACAAACAAAAATGGCTAGAACGCAGTCATTTTTACGGATATTAAACAAAAATCTGGTGTGGTAGTAGCTGACAATCATTTTTAGCACATACTTTAAAACTCTGTCTTGACAATCCACAAGAAACATCCATTTCTTTAACCAATCTTTTTGTGTTGTTTTTTCGTAACTCTTGATGTGTTTGCTATTTGCTTTGTCTCTTTTCAATAAGGCTCGGCTCAGGCGACGAACAAAGAGAGCATCCAGAAGCTGATCAGTCGACTGGATGAAGATCTGAGCACACTGGGTCAGATCAGCAAACTGTCAGAGACCCTCAGTTTCCCACATCAGGTGCTGTGGATGTTGGATCAGTTTTGTTTGTTGCATTTGTGTATTTTTAAGAGGGCATATCGTGCAAAGTCCACTTTTTTTAAGCTGTTAAATACATTTTGTTGTGTGCTTGGAGTCACTAGGATTGCAGAAAATAGCATTGCACTGCAGTTCCACTTTATATAGACCCCAGCCAAATGATTAAAATGTAAAGAAGAAGGATTTTAAAACATGTCTACCTTAAGCCGCCAAATCATATTTTTTTCTTCTGATCCATCGTTTTTTTTGTTCCCTCCTTTGCTTGTTTCAGTCCCTAGATGAGGTCATAAAAGACCTGATGGCGTCTGTGCACAAAGAACTGTCAGAGAAGCAATCTTTGGCTTTCAGCATGACGTTCCTGCCCACCAAGCTGGAGTTCACCACCACCTCTGCCGAGAGCACCTTCGTCTTCGAGTTCAGCTCTCCGGACGCTCGCTCCAGCTTTGAACAGGCCTTCGAAGAGGCCAAGAAGAAGCTCGGTAAGTGAGGAAACCTAATGTTGGACCGCTGAGTACGAATTCAGAAGGCCATCTCCACTAAGATGCTTCATATATGTRACCCATCACATCGAAATGAGGATTAAGTCGAAATTGGTCAAAATGACCTAATCATATTTTCAGATTCCTGGCTTTAAAAGCTAAATTTTGATACTTAGATCATCCTGATATCATTAGTAGATCCAGATATATTATTTCATTTGTCTTGTTGGTTACAATAATACATAAATATTTGGTCTAAATCCTAATTTTCTGTAATTTCATTGAGGATTTTTTTTATGTCATTTGAAAAAAGAAACCTCAAATAGTGTTTGAATATTGAGATTTCCCATTTGGAAAGAAACAAAAGCGTTGATAGCTCACAGGGAAAATCTCAACGTCTTAAGGCATTTTTCCTCAAAATTGGGTTTTTGGTTGCTAATGCTCAAAAAAGTGCTTCAAAAAAATTTTTAGGATAAAATTTCAGACAGTTCATTGAAATGATATATTGATAACACATTTCTTTGTTATATTTTGACAAAATGTAATTTTTGCAAGCATTTTAGTCAAAACTATATCTGCCTATTTCTCCACATACAACTTTTAGACTTAATCCTTGTTTCGATGTGATGGGTCACATATTTGTATTTCTATTTTGTGGTTATAGCTATGAACAAGGACCAGTGGGACCCAGAGTTCCTTAAGGCCATCCCTATAATGAAGACCCGCAGTGGGATGCAGGTGAGAACGATGGGAAACAGGGACGCCGTGTGAGACGCTTTTATTTCTTTTTTTTTTTTTCATTGCTGTTCTTTCTGGGTGTCTCCAGTTCTCCTGTGCCTCTCCCAGCCACAGCTGCCCTGACAGCGGCTGTGAGGTGTGGGTGTGCAACAGCGACGGATACGTGGGACAGGTGGGTGTCTGTCCGCGCCGGACGGGAAACGTCTGTTGAAGATTTTCAGTGATGATTTTATAAAGTTTTTGTCTCTGCAAAGGTTTGCTTGTTGAACATCAAAGACGAGCCCACGGTGGAGGCCTGCATCGCCGTCTGCTCGGCCAGAATCATTTGTATCGCTGCCGTTCCCGGACTCAAAGGAAGGTTAGAACACACACACACACACACACACAAAACCATTTTCGATTGAACCCACTGAACCAATTAAAACATTTTCCTCTCCTCTATTATTTGTTCTGTTACATCAAACAAATGTGACCTCTCAGGGACCGTGGGTCTGAACCGTTCCCAAACTTGGGGACCCTGGGTCCAGCCCAGCAGCAGCTCCACATATCCATCTCTCCATCCAATCTGGAGCTGACCACGCAGCCGACAGGTCCGCTCCGGCCGCATGGGAACCAGTTTACAGCTTCCTAAAGATCTGATTACATTATTTTCAGTTTGTTTTTGTTTGTTTGTTTTTGTTTGTTTGTTTGTTTGTTTGTTTTTGTTTGTTTGTTTGTTTTTGCAATAACTTCTGCTGATTTGTGCTTTCTTCGTTCCCAGGCCCGGGTGCGGAGCTCGTGCCATTCGACAGCGATGACACAGATGACGAAGATTCACCGAGCCCCTCCTCCACTCTGCAGAGTCAGGCCAGTCGCTCCACCATCTCCTCCAGCTACTGCAGTGAGTCAAAGCTCAATGTCTCCGCTACATTTACTTCATCTTCCCCAGCCCCTCAACCTCCCTCTCTCTCTCTCACCTTCGCCCCCAAAGACGACGAGGGTCCGAGCTCCAAAGACATGGCCACGGAGACCACCAGCAGCGAGGAGGAGCAGGAGTTCCCCGCCGCGAGCTCCTACAGCGCCCCGGGGATGCTGGGAGTGGGCGGAGGGGGTCGCACTAACACGGAGAGCCCGATGGACGGGCGAGCCATGCGGCGGTCCTCTCGGGGGTCGTTCACCCGGGCCAGCCTGGAGGACCTGCTCAGCATCGACCCAGAGGCCTAYCAGAGCTCCGTGTGGCTGGGCACGGAGGACGGCTGGTACGGCACRCAAATCGAAACCCCTCGTTTATGTTCTGACGTTTTTCGCTAATTCGATGCAATGTTTTCGTCAGCATCCACGTGTACCAGTCCTCAGACAACATCCGCAACCGTAAGAACAGCATGAAGATGCAGCACTCAGCCTCCATCCTCTGCATACTGTAAGGCTGCCTTCTCCCCACCTCACTGATCCATGAAAATATGACAAATGCTATTYGTTTTTTTACAGAACAGAAGTTCAGATTAATGCACTAAATCGCCATTTTGTACATTTAAAATGACAGAGATCTCAGGGTAATCGGTTCTTACGTTCCATGTTTCCAACTCAATGAGCTCGTTATCTTGTTGACCAGGACAGTCCTCAGCATCAGAATCAGAATTAAAATCAGATTCCTGAGCTGTGGGTTCAGATTCATACTGGTTTGTTGTATAGCCATTACACTGACAAAATCTTCTAAATCCCAGGATGATAACCCCGCCCCCAAAAGCACCACACTTTGGTATTTAGAGATAAAAACTTGAAAAACAAGTTATTTAAGTTATAAGATTGAAAAACGAGTACCTGGAATGTTGTTAGTGTTTCATTAAATGATATTCTTACAATATGTTTTTTTTATTTCGTTTATCTTTCAAAACAGAAGTGTTACTGAAATTTGTGTTTTATGTTTAGACCATTTAAAGAGAACATTAAAGAAATGAGAAACACAAAGGTTACTTTCACRTTGCAGGCAAAAGTGGCCCAAATCATACTATTTGCCCATATGTGACTAATATTGGATTTTTTTTTTCTTTTTATGACGAATCAGATTTTTTTTGTCAAATCTGTCCCAAGCTCTTTTCATAATAGTTTAAACAGTTGTCTTTCATCCATCCATAGACGGTTCACACTGCAGTGAGATGGTCACATTTAGACATAATCTGAATCACACAAAAAAATTGGATGTGAGCAAAAACCTGCAGTGTGAATGTAGAGAGTTCAAAAGAATTGTGAAGGTGACATTTGTTGCAAATGTTACAATATATCAAGTAAATTATATACTTGTTCTTTTCCCCCTCACGTCAGGTATTTGGATAACAAAGTGTTTGTGTCCTTAACGAATGGAGAGGTGGTTGTTTATCAGAGAGAAGCAGGTGAGCTGGACTCTTACCCTGACGTAACCTGGTGGTGACAAATTATTCATATTTTTATTTATTTCAGCAGGTTTTGAATGTTTGAGAGTGCCGTTTCTCATTGTGTCGTGACTTTGGATCTAAACCTGCAGGTAGCTTTTGGGACCCTCAGTCGTCTCAGATATTAATTCTTGGTACGCCCAGCAGTCCGGTCACCAAAATGGTCCCAGTTGGAGGGAAACTGTGGTGTGGCTCGCTCAACAGAGTCCTCATCATCAACACGTCGACACTGGTCCAAGAGGTGAAACTAAAAATAAAAAAAAAACAGGTAAACCAAATAAAGCAGACCAGGGCTGCGTGTTTAWCTCTGCGTTCGTCTGCGCAGCACTGGTTCCAGGTGGGCACCGACAGCAGCCGCTGCGTGACCTGCATGGTGTCGTACGGTCAGGGCGTGTGGCTGGCGCTGCAGGGCAGTGCGCAGGTCCGGYTGTATCACGCTCAGAGCTGGGAGAGCCTGACGGAGGTGGACGTGGCACCCGCCGTGCACAAAATGCTCGCAGGTAGGCAAGTGGACACTTGACGCAGAGTGTACTGGACAGCTGGAGAGCTTGGAAGTGATGAGAAATTTGGTGAAATTTTGTTGTTAGTCGCTTTATAATGTAGTTAATTCTGAAAAATCCTTTCAAGACCCCACCTTGAGGTTTCAGGACCCACAACGGTGTCCCAACCCCAACTTTTGGAACTACTGGTTGAAGACAAATTTTTTTCTTCCGTTTAAATCTTGTCCGCTCTGTTCAGGTGCCGATGCMATCATCAGACAGCACAAAGCTGCCTGTCTCAGAATCACAGCCTTGCTGGCCTGTAAGGATCTGTTATGGATCGGTACCAGTGCAGGTAGGTAACTGCTTTAAAGTCTCYCTTTTCACTGACCCTTATACCCTGGATTTAAAAAGAATACTTATGTTGGGTTGTTGGTCTTATGCAGGGGTGGTCCTYACTCTGGCAATCCCAGCGGTGAGGTCAGGAACCGGTGCCGAGACRCTGAAATCTCCTCTGGTGCCGATGGGATCGGCTCACGGTCACACAGGACACGTTCGGTTCCTGACGTCGATCGAGCTGCCTGAGGGGTTTGACGTGAACTTCCCTCCGGCGGCAACGGACTCTACAGGTTTTACAGCTTTACCTCAAAAAGCCAATTTACYGAGCCGTAATCTGCGCTTCGTTCCATCCGGTTTTGATGCTTGACTTTTAAACCCGTCTTTTCCTGACTCCAGGTAATCAGTCTCAGAGCAGCGGCGTCATYGACAAGAACTCGCAACGGCGGGACTCCACGCACCGCAGAGCCTCCGCCCACATCCCTGCCAAAACCAACCATCTTGTTATTTCTGGTGGAGACGGCTACGAGGACTTCAGGCTGACCAACAGCAGCGAAACGGTTGGGCGGGACGACAGCACCAACCACCTGTTGCTTTGGAGGGTTTGAGATGATCAGACAGCCAAGTCCATTATAGCTGCAGTGGTCTGCTGTCCTGAAYGATCCTCACTTTTTAGTGTTTTCATTTCGGTGTCCTGCTCAGTCCACTGGTCTCTGTGTGCACAGCACTCCTCTCTGGACTTAAAAATGAATATGACCATGCAAGAACCTTTTTTTTATGTGACTACGTCTCCAAGCTCAAGTTTTGACTAACAAACAAAGAACAGAAGGAATAAACGAAACTTTCACAAATGGAAGTGGACGAGTAAGGACCATGAAGAGAAGGACGTCTGCATGGCAGCAGCACTGAAGCATCGAGTGTATCTTGAAAAGAATCTCTGATTTTGGAACGTAAAAGACTGTAAATTCCAGCATAAATAATAGCTTAAAATGCAACAATATTAAATTGGTTCTTATATTTTTCTGCTGAAATTGAAACCTAGTGGAGTATTTGGGGCGGTCTGAGATATTATTGGTGTAAAAACTAAATGTCCAGTGTCTTAAACTCGATTGCTCAAATTTGAACATTTCCAGATGTTTGTAACTCTGTTAGGATTGTAATAAGATTCATTTTTTCATTGCTGATTATACATGTGCGTCTGCTGTTTTCCCAGTAGAGGGAGCATAAGTAAGAGCATCATTTTAGTGCAATATGCGATGACACTACGACCTATAATTGCATGGCCTTACTCACCGAGTCAAAGTGTGTGCTCTGTGCAGATAAAAGCGTTCTATTTTCCTATTTTTGTTTGGTTTTGCTGCCAGTTAAAGATGATTAACATGTAAATGTGTCCGTGTCAAACTACTGGTTGGACAAAAAAAAGTGCATTGGAGACATTCCTCCTTAAAGTGACCATGCCAAAGCTTCGTGTGAGTTTCTCTGCCATAAAAACATAGTTGAGCGTTCTCTCAGAGAAGAAAAAAAGACTCTTTAAAGATGACGCCAGGCTGTGGTATCAGTTAAAGATAGTGATGTACAGTATTTATGCTTTTGGATTTTAGCACAGCCTATTTTTTRTTTTATAGCACTTAATTTATAGAAGATGTAGCTTTTTTCACCTTTTTTTTCTGGAAAAAAGTCTCCAGCTCAGTTATGAGAGTAGATAAAAGCCCATAGTCTATCTCAGGCAGACACACAGATACATATACTGTATGTTAGGGGTGAGGAAAGGATGCAGATGTAGACAGAAGATGATTTATCAGTTCCACCGTTTTGCCTCCGGTTTTTGGACCAACGCTGAACACAACCTCTGTGTTGCCTGTTTATGTGCCAAAACACTCAGATATGTCTTGTGTGTCATTTCATGCTACAGAAGATATAACTATAATGCAAAACCATACAAATTCAATAAAAAAGTGATCATTCAGTAACAAAATGCATCTCTTTATTCAAGAAGCACACAAGAGACAGAGTTCACCAGATGGGTAATGCACGTGCCTTCAGAAGACTAACGGTTAAGCCATTTCACACACAGACACACACACTTGGAAAAAAAAGTCGTTCACCTGATTCCACAACAGATGTCTGTGAAGGTGGAGGATGACTGACTTGTCCTGGCACACATAAACATAAACACAGAAGTGTTAGCCTCGAGCTTTGGGGGTTAAGCCGTGATTGTCTTTGATCCTTCGAAGCCTTGAAAACCTCATAGCACTTTATCAGCCATCTGGGCTCTTCACCTCAGCTTTTCCCACCTTTACAAGCATCTTTCTCCCTCTGAAACAAGTTGAGATGATGAGCCGTCTGCCAGTGTTAGCTGCTAACTAGCAAGTTAACATCTGCAGGTGGGGGAGTGTTTTGTCATCCAAAAAAATTGAAAGACAGAGAAATAGATATTTTTCTGATAAATATGTGATATATTGATAGTGTTTCTCATGATGAACGTCCCCATTTCATTCCTGTTTTCACTGTTTGTTTTACTGATCTAAAATCTAGTGTTCTTCTGGCTGTAGAACATTCTCCACAACAGAGGGAATTTATTCACTAAGTGAGCCGTGTCCACTGACAAAACCTTTATTTTGAAAATCTCAAAACT